ATTGATGAACTTTAGACTTTGCTAATACTTTTGTTTCCTCGGGTGTAAATAGCTGGGGGGAATTAGTACCGTAGCACGGCGGGGGATCAGTGTGTATGACACGTTCTTGCAATTGGATATACAGCTTTTACGTCCTTCACAGACAACAACTCGACAGATTGTCAGATTCAAGTCTAGGAGGTAAATGGTACGATGCAGTCCAGAAATTTACAAGGTCCCTCAATTCTGGAGCTAAATTTTTAAACAAATATTATAAAACAAATTGAATAAAAATGAATTGGTATAGCAGCTGTCTATAGCTGTAACAGAATACGGTCCTCAAGGGGGGAGGAATAAAGTGGGGTGTCTAGAAAACTAAGACCTCGAAAACTATAAGACTTCAAAATTTATAATTAAGTCTCAATTAATACTGAAAACCAATCCCGTATCCATTCAAACTTGAAAACTAAGACGTCAAAATAGTGTCATTAGAGATTCAAATCACCATTTAAAGGCCACTTCACACTACAGAACTTTTCTACACAACTAAATAGGCACACAATTCACCTACAACAAGTTTGTGTGCTTGATTTACATAGTACAACTCGAGTTGTAAGGCATGTTGCATGCAACAGTTTTTGGCAAAAGATGTTGTAGTGTAAATCGGCCTTAAGTTAAACACCTTTTGTACAACCAGCTCTGGGGCTAACATGACGTAATATGGCATGTTGTATATTGCCATGCAATCTATACATGCATATAGAACTATAAGTCTATTTAATTAATTATCCAGATTGAGGAAGTTTGTATGTCTATTTTATTAACATCGTAAAATTATATGTATTTCGTAAAGGAAGATTATTCAGAAAGGTCTGAAATTTATCCCCACTGCAATTTAAAAGTATCTTATTTGTAATTCCAACATGTATTTGACTATTTGTTACAAATTCGTCCAGTACTGGTAGACACACCCAAATAAAGTGCCCGCTCTACAATAAACTGTCAGAGACGAGAGACAACAACAGTTCATTTGATAATTAACAGAATCTGTGTTAAATGGGAGGAGGAAAACCTTGGAAATAAAGTTTCCATTGGAAACATGTCCAATACATGGGAATGTGGGTGCACTAACTGAATGTTTGTGTCATTACCTTTATTTTGGAGTGCTAATTCATCGATGTAGTCCTCAAAGAATGTTTTCATTTGTAGAAATGTTTCAGGCACTTTATCCCAAACCACCATCGCTTTCATGGATTTGACATTGATAATATTTTATCTGTGGAAAAACAATAGATGTAATTTGTGCATCTTGCCGTAGGTAGTGTACCAGAGAAACTGCATCCATCCCTTTCTTGATTTCATCCACTCAAATTGTCTTTTGTCAATAACAAAATACTCTATCAGTGACTCTGCAGCAATTCGGTTTTGCCCACTTTGGATTTGAGGTGGTAGATTAGCCTCAAATAAATAATCTTGAAGACCTTTAATTTCAGTCTTTGGGGGGACCAGTCATCTGACATCAGTTATTAGAAGATACAAACAGTTTGTATCACCAACAATATTGGTTACCCATACAAGTTCAATATCTGCAACATCCTTTAAAACCATGCATGTAGAATTTAATTTTCATATCATTTCCCCAAATGTTTCATAGATGCCAGCTTTTCTTAACATGGTGCTCGCAATTAATTGACACCGTGTGATCATCTCCTTCAAGTACTATAATCTTTTCATTGAGTGAGAAACCTTCAGTAGTTTCATAGAGTGTAAAAAATTCTGACAGGCCCTGACCGAACAGCTTGGTCCCCCTCAAATCTAACTCTTGCTGCTCTTCTCAAAAAGATTCCTTGCTTTTCTTCTCAAAAAGATGTCCTTGCTTTTGTACAAGGCAAGGATATCACTATGCAACTCAACTTCCATTCTGTCAAGATGAATTCTAAGCAGTGGCCGAGTTTCCTTGTTCTGTTGATGGTTCAGTTGCCAGGGATTATCTACCTGTACTACATGTGACAGGCAAATCTAAAAAAGAATGTTTAATAATCACTGTATATGCAATCAAGGTAAATCCCGCCATTACATCTACAGTATTGTAACTTATACTTGTTTGATATCTGACTTGCAATGATCAACTTACAGTTCAGTAACTCATTTGCCTGGTTGGTCAGATGATTTTACTTGTCAAAGAACGAGTACTGCCATTGCCAGTTAATGGGTAGTAGTAGCATATTAGAAACCGTACATAATCTTCAGATTTAATTTGTGCAATGTTTTTAAAGAATAAAGCAATAATATGAATGATTATCGAGGCAGTACTCTGAAGGTTATGTACTGTTTGTAATTACTTCGCACAATGTTTTAAAGAATGAAGCAATAACATGAATGCTTATAGAGGGAGTACTCGCGCCCCTTACGAAAATTGGCAATTGATAAAACTAGAATAGTGAAGCGAATAGTGCGAATAGTCGACGAATAGTGCGAATAGTCGACGAATAGTACGAATAGTCCGCGAATAGTCGACGAATAGTCGACGAATAGTCCGCGAATAGTCAACGAATAGTACGAATAGTCCACGAATAGGCAACGAATAGTACGAATAGTGCAATAGAGACTTTGCAAGGCTTTGCAGCAGTGCTGTAGAACTAAATTTACCGGGGGGGGGGGGGCTCTGTTGACAAACATGAAATCGTGAAAACATTCGTCGACGTACGTCAATGACGTCATACGTCTAGTGATTGTCATCAGTGGCGCGTGGCCGGGGGGGGGGGCATGGCCCTCCCCTATTGTTGACACCCGTCGTAAAATTGCCAATGCTGCCGGAAATTGTCGGAAAATTGTCAAGGCTGTCGGAAATTGTCAAAGTTGTCGACGGGGGGGGGGGGAAGATTTAAAATGTTGTCGTCCGGAAAACTTTTTGGTTTGTCGGAAAAATTTTTCGGTTTGTCGGAAAAGTACTGCCCTTGCCCCCCCCCAAAAAAAAACATGGGTCCCACGGCGCCACTGATTGTCATTCTACTTCCTGTTAAATATTTGTTAAAACTCAGTGGTCCCGTAATTTTTACCGATTACGTATGACGTCATTGACATCAACGAATGTTTTCACGATTTCATGTTTGTCAATAGAGCCCCCCCCCACCCCGCTTCGGTAAATTTAGTTCTACAGCACGGTGGAAAGCCTTGCAAAGTCTCTATTGCACTATTCGTCGACTATTCGTACTATTCGTCGACTATTCGCGGACTATTCGCACTATTCGTCGACTATTCGTACTATTCGTCGACTATTCGCGGACTATTCGCACTATTCGTCGACTATTCGCGGACTATTCGTACTATTCGTCGACTATTCGCGGACTATTCGCACTATTCGTCGACTATTCGCGGACTATTCGCACTATTCGCGGACTATTCGCACTATTCGTCGACTATTCGCACTATTCGCTTCACTATTCTAGTTTTATCAATTGCCCATAATTTAATCCCTAAAATAGATACTTCATTAAATTACCAATTACGAAACAACAAGAAGATACATGTTCCGAAATTCTATACTGAACGTTTTAAGAATTCGTATGTCATCGCTAGTTGTTTAGACATAAATAATCGTAATTCAACAAATTAGTGTTAGTTTTAATATTTATAATCTTCTTAGTAAGCCATAGCATAGGTTGTAATTTTTTAAATGTAACATAATTTGTATTCAGTCTTATTTATATTGTAATCGCTTACCAATTCAGTATTTGTACTGCAAAAAGTGAATTATTAAACAATCTATCTATCTATCTATCTATCTATCTATCTATCTATCTATCTATCTATCTATCTATCTATCTATCTATCTATCTATCTATCATGATGCTAAATATAAATCTCGACTATGATTGGATAATGGGTGAGGGTGCTAATTACAAAACGTCAATCATCCTTAATGGGCGAAAACAAATTTGTCATAACCATTTGGGCAGGCGTTTCCTCTTTTCCCGCCCATGACAGTTAGGGGCCCCCATCAGCCGCGGCCTATTGCCCAGAAAATTAGAAAACGCAAAAAATCAGGTTAAGCTAGGATCACTTGATGAAGGGATTTGTAGATGGAAATTACGAGTGGCATTTTTATGCATTTAATTTTATTGGCCTAAATAACAGGAGCATTAGCCAAACATGTTGCATGCCCTCTGACAGGAATCAAACCTGCGCCGAGCGATTCCGATTTATTAAAAACATTCAATTTACAACATGTTTAAAAATATTATATATATTGTTTGCAAAAATACTTTTCTTCAATTGTATATTAACGTTCATCTAATAAAGTACATCTAAAACCATTAAAAAGTGTCCAAAAGGATCAAATTAATGGATCAATCGGTCAATATTTTGTTGGCGTCTCACTCGCGAAAAATGCTGCAAGAAATGCAACATTAGGTCCCTGGCGAGTCGCACTAATTCTTCATGAGTCGTGCTATTTTGTCGATGGCGAGTCGCACCAATTTTATCTCAACTCACGCCATTAATTTGTCAATATTAATTTGTAATTATAAGTAAAACTGTATACTTAGTTTCTGTCTTGGATTTGCAAACCCAGATATAAAGTATTTTTATTCACCTTCTTATGCTTATCTCACGTTTGAAAAACATGCAGGAGTTAGGAAACAACATGGAGAACTACATAACTACAGGATAGCTAACTTGTCAGGGTATGAAAATAGAACACCAGTAAATAGCAACACGCAAATAACAATCACTGGAATATTTTAATAGCAATAAATTCAACCATTTGCCTTGATAACTAGTTACATCAAACACTATATTTATCACCAATTATAATATTTCATCCAGTGATCATCTTGTACACATAATTAGACCAGCTGCCGCCAACTCCACTCCAGCAATTGTCTGCAGGTCCATGCTTGTCGTAATCCGGAACTGTTCCTGGTTTAGCTGTCCAACATTCACCGTAATACTGAATGGCAAAATACACCACATTGTGTTCCTTTGCCAGTTTAGCACAAGCCTTGATAGTAGCATTTATATTGTACCAGTCGATTTCTAGTCGAAGATTTTTAAGATATCTCGGGAATGTTCTGTCTGCATCATCATCTTTAAAACATCCCAGAGGACTGTAGTTCGGTTTTGCTATTTAAAAAAAGGAGCATGAAAGGTAGGTTTTACAAAATAATTATGAATTGCTCAGCGTTTATTCATTTCAAATTTGGCACTTTTTGAGTTGTCCTGCTGACAGACAGACAAACAGACGAATAAGGAAACAAAGAAAGATGACCATGGACATAATACCATGAAATTGTTACAAATAAAATGGAAACTAACACACCAATGTCGCACTTACCTACACATGGAATGTCAAAATTGCAATTTCCTTCTGTCGGTAGTTTGGCGATTTGATAATGTTCACAAGTATGTATTGGTAAAGATGTAATTCCTCCTTGATCATTTGTCATTTGACATTTTAGTGATCTTGTCATAATACCCTGACCACATGTCGTGGAACACTAAAAGTGAGGAAAATTTTTAAATCGCTTTATTAGCCTATGCCAATTACAAATGGTAAAAGTTGAATACTAGCCAACTAGGTGCAACAGGTTACCCCAGTTACTTATCGCCATAGATGTTTGGGAGCTAGTATTCCAAAGGTCGTAGGTTCGATTCCCACCGTGGCCAGGCATATTTTTCAAGCTTGCCCGGTGTGGATATACACTCAGGGTAACATCATGCACAAACATCATTCTAGAGAGTAGTTCTTGTTCAAGTGTTGGTGACTTGCATAACATATACGTGAATATCAGACATATATAGTTATGCATTATTTGTATACAGTCTATGACTGAGAAATGCTGTACATTAAGAATTATGTAAATTACACCGTTAAAAATTTGCTACATAACCACTAAATATTAGACACCTCTCCAACAGGGACACTTTGCTCTGTCTCTTTCTGTTCGTATTAGAGCTCGAGGTACGACTTTTTACATGCCCTGCAAAAATATTATACTTTTACTGTAAACTCTTTCTTTTGTTAGGCTATACATAGAACTAGTTTAACTCATACTGATGATGAATTAATTAGTGCATGTGTTTCTCATAGCCTCTCAATCAAGGTATATGATCTAATCTGGAAATTTTAAACGTCTATAATGATTAATGAGCTAATTCTGCTAAGATCTTTTGAAATTGTTCTTAATGTGTACTATTTAAAACACGAGTAGGAGAGTCTTTTATCAGATATAAAACGCGACAACGAGTGTTTTAAAATATATAGCTTACAATTCGACTACAAAAGAATACTAATTATAGGATGAACAATTATACAGGGTAAGTAAAAAAAAACTGACACCTATGCGGCTATATAATTTGAATATCAAAGGTATCAGTTTTTTTGACTCACTCTGTATAAGAATACTAATTACGATGAACAATGGATGATTCCAGGTACTGTATAGACTAAATTTTGATCCAGGCAAGAAAAACAAAATCCATCAGCGCAGTTAGAAAGAGCATGTTAAAATTAGTAAAATTGCAAAGTTTGGCCGCGAAATGTTATAAAATGCGGAAAATATAGCCCTGCGAAATTTGCAAATTTTGTATTAATTTGAACAGCTGGGAAATTTGTTGCGCATGCGCCAGATTTCCATTGAAACTTGAAGATTTCCCCGAAGAAATATTACGAGATGTTCGTGGTTGTTGTATATTTTTGAATGCCTGTTTAATCTTTATACTTTTTTTTGCTTGAGATAAAGACAAAGTAAAATGTACACTACGTTTCCAGTGTATAGAATATCTCGTTTGAACAGCAATAGAATATTATAATCTTGACACAAACAAGAAGACATTTGACACGCTAAATCTGTAGTTATGCCTGAGGTATAAAAGCCAATCGTCGCGAGCTTGACAATGGTCAAACGCAAAACAAGTACAAATTTGGATTCAAACAGAAAGAATTTCAATGTTAATACAACTAACATATATTCTATACAAATACGGGTGGTTTAAAATGTTTTCAATTGAATTTTCAAAGCTTTTATCTATCGCTATGATAATCAAACTGTGTGTGAACTTGATGCCGCAGTTTTGTTGACGCTTGCGAATGCAAAATAACTTCCTGTAAACAGAGCATTTCTACACAAAACTCTCGCTTAGTCTTCTGATGCACTTGTACGTTCGGTTCTACTAGTTAAACAAGGAAAATATTCAAGAAACACTGGTAAATTATCGTTGTCAAAAACCATTCAGTGCTGAGGCAGTACAAGATTTCAAGGGCAAGGTCAAGTTGTCGATTTCATTACATCACAGAATAGATAATAACACCGCGGAAAAACGTCTGCGCATGCGCCAACCTTACCTGTAATAGTGATGAGAAGCTGTTCCGAACGTTTCCGAAGGCTCAAAATGGCGGTAAAAAGGAGTGACTTCATTGTGCGTCTTTACAGCCAGATTTCGAGAGCAAAAATAAACATGTCATTCTAAAAACTAGGAATAAATACAGCCAGAAGGTTCAAGAAGTTGTATTGTACAAGAATATTGAACTAAAGGTGATTGTTGACAAATTTATCGTCTGAAACATTTTGTTTATCAACTAAGCAACGACAATTTCCGAATTTCGTTTGAGATACATTTCTTTAAAAAAAACTGTGTCGCCAAATATAAAAAATTTTCGTGTTCACAATAATTAAAGGGGAAGTCAAGTCCGTAATGTAAACAAACGGTTTGTTTACATTTTGAACTGCTGTATTTTTTAAAATATGATGTACTGTCTGAATATCTAACACCATTTTGGTTCGTTATGCTTCTACATGAATATGAAATAGAGTTTGTGTTCAGAAACATTCGAAACATTCAAAATTTGGGCAATGTTTACCTCAGAGGGCCCTCTATTGTTATGCGCAGAACCGATGCGCAGAACGGACTTGACTTCCCCTTTAAACTTTAGGATTTATTCTACAATTTGAGTGGGTTAAGAAGCTTAACTTTTCGAGAGTTTTCTTAACTTTTGAGTTTGAATTCTTGTTTTGAATAATTTTGCAAAAATTTTCGAAGTCATGTCCGTTAAAATCAACAATTTTTTACATGAATTCTATTTCATTCCATACTTTAAATGCCAGGACGCTTTCAATTAATGTCTAGTCTACCCATTTGCTATATTTTCTCGTTTGTTTTACTAATTTTTGACCAATTAATGAGCATGTTTTTGTTTTAGAAATTAATATTCAAATTTCCCGCCATATTTTCATAATTTGGTGCATGCGCAGACGTTTTCCCGCGGTGTTATAGATAATAGGACCAGAAGTCTTACTCAAGCGGAAACATGTCCCATCTTTTATACTGCGCATGCGCGAGCTAAACAAGTGTAATGCAGTGTTGACAATAGAAAATTATATTGGGAAGTTGTCATTTCTACAGTAAAAACAGCTTTTTTTCAAGTAGTACGAATTGTGACTTCGATTTATCTGTGGAACTATTTGAACAGAAGGTAAAGCAGTAATTTTGTTGTATTTAGAAAGCAAACAGAGTCATATTTTTAAAAATATAGCGCACTGAATATAAATTTGAGCATCATTAAAATGTGTTCGCTATGATGCCATTTTGTCTCCGGTATATACGGAGTTCTGCTTTTATACTTGTGGATATTCGAATTTATTTGGCTCAAAAACACCATTACTTCAATATCCCTTTCTTGTTTTTCCTTGGATAGGTTTTAACAAGATAGAACTCTAGATCCCTTGGGTCCAAAGACGCTAGATTATAAAATCCTGATGTGACTGATACTACAAATAGAATATGTCTTATGATTTAATACTACAAATAAAATGTCTTTTAAGTACAAACTTCAATGAATTGATAAAGTGTAAGGATAGTGTTTAAAGTTGCTTCATGTGTAGAAGCTGAATTACTTTAGTTTATACACTGTATATTGTCGAGATCACATGTTGATATGACTTAATACCAGCAACTTGCAATAAGTGGTCTGTTCTGCTTGTTTATAATACTTTAGAGTTTGGACATTAGAACATTGTAATTGCCTGACAGAGACTGTTAGGGCCTGTTTGTATGGAAGCCGGGCTGGCCCGCTTAGCAAGACAGCCCGGTAAGGTAGGTAAGCAGGATGATTTCTCTTGTGTTTATTTGAGAAAATTTCATTCCGCTTACCGGGACAATTTTGTTGTTTTGACATTATTTTGACAGTTGTTAAAAATAGCTTGCGGCAGTATCTTTGAACTTTCATCCCGGCAACCGGGCTAGCCTGCTTATGATTGTTTATGTGGAGAAATTTCCATCCTGGTCTTGGCAACCGGGCCTGCCCGCTTGTCCATAGAAATGATAATTTGTACTATAAAAATAACTAGACAGCGAGATCTCACTTACCGGGCTGTCTCACTTAGCGGGCCAGCCAGTTTCAATATAAACAGGCCCTTACACAACTGCTAAAAGCTGCAAGTTTCTTTAAAGCAATATCATCTATATCACAGAATACAGTTTCTGTAGTGACATACTTGTGTTTTTTCTGTCTTTAAAGTGTCTTATGTTTGTAATATTTTTGTACAATACCTTTTTGAAATTGTTGATACTGGTCTCATTGTAACTCAGTAGTCTCAGTTATTCCTTCTCAAGAAAAATACAAAAACAAAGCTGTGTGGGTGTGTTTTTGCTCTAGCTAGTTTTTACATTTACATGGTTCATGTACAATTAATGTACATTTAAATTAGCTTTGTTCAATGAATACAGGTGTGATTCAAATATCATTCCTGTCAGGTACTTGGGTCAAATAGACATAAGCATACTAAATCATGCTGTGAATTGAAATACAAGTATAGGGTGTATATTGTTTAATAAATATATTTTCCAGTTAACCCAGTAAGCTGCATTGTGCCCCAATGCACCCTACTTTACTAGTTTATTTCACTTCATCTAATGCCAGATGATTTTACTTATCGAGGGAGAGTGCTGCTGCTCATTGAGCTCTGATTGAGTTCACTGAGTGGCAGCACTTTCCCCTTGACGAGTGAAATTGTCTGGCGTTAGACAGAGTAAAATAATCTTGCGTTCAATCAATCAGCTACTTTTTCAAAAGCTCAACCAGGTTAAAGATTCTTTGATTTGAAAACCAAAGTGATAGTGAACTAGTTAGTTGAAACAAACAGAATTGTTTGATTTATTTACTTTCCACAACATTGACAATTAAAATTTAATTTGATACTTTTCCAGTATATTGACATTATATAGGTTCAAATCATATTGACATTATATAGGTTCAGATTTGACCACGATTACCATTAAGGGACCATCAACCAATCAAATGCATATGATATATTTGATCAACCATTATAATGAAAGTGTGAGTTTATTCATAAACTAATTATAAATCAACTTCCATGCAATGCTTCATGCAATCATCTAGCTATGCACCAGTCAATGTAAATCCCTGCCCCCAACCGGGGAGGGGTGGAAGTTTAACAGGGAAAGTGGTCAGTTTTGATTATAAATTTGTCCCCGATGATGGGAGACTTGGACAGTGGTTAACATATATATCCTGTGTTGCTGTTTTAGTTTTCTTGACAAGAAAAGTTTAAATACAACAACATAAATGAATTTGATTTTCTATTGCTGATCTTTTCTATTCTATTCTATGATTATACAAAACTATTTTCCTGGGGTTAAGAGACATGCAGGGGACATTGACGTCCCTGGGGGCAGGGAAAATTTCGCTTTTTTACTACCCCTCCAAGTCAAAATCCCTGCCCCTCCCTGGTTGGGGGGTTTACACTGACTGGTGCATTAATTAAAGAAGTGTCAGTGCCACATATGTAGTAAAAGCAAACTTGTCAGTAAAGGCCACAGAGCAAGATTGTATTTCAAAGACTGCCAGTGACAAAAACAATTGATAGCCCTGAAATAGAGTGTGCCAACAGTTAGTGTACTGCAAATAACTATTCTATCAACAAGATAATGTGTGTGTTTTACAAGTGTTTTTTATATATCAATCCAATGGCATGTAACCTAAAATTCAGCAGTGTCTGTGTAATGAAATACACCCTTACTTCTCAAATATGGTCAAATTAACTATACTACATTGTGTATAATAATATATGGACTAGCTGGTTCAAAAATATATTGAATTTATATTAGTGAACTGGTGAACTATTGATGTAGAGATTATGCCAAGTATAGAATGGCACAAGGATTTTCATGTTATCAGCATGATTAAATCGTGAGATTTTGCAAATAATCTGTGTAAAATCTCTTAGAGATATCCTCGGTAGCCACATTTTAAGGTAAAATGACTATGGTAAAGCTATTCGAGGCAAAAAAGCAATGGATCTGTCAACCTCGTTGTCAACAGTAAATTTAGCTAAGTTTATGATCCATTTATTGCCGTATTTTAGCTGAGAATTCATTTAAGACAATGCAATACGATAGACTTACCTTTGAATTTATCATATATTCTTTTAAAATGGTCACCAAAGCTCTAAAACTCGATTGGTATCGTTTTAACTTCCTCACTCCTTAATGTTTACATGTAAATTTGTCAAATTACACTTGTTTAGGGCACTGGAAACGAGACACGGCCAAGATGCGCGAGGCGACATGCGCGGGGACATCAACAACAAAGATTCCGACATCGAGTGAGACTTCTGGTCTTATTATTTATTTTGTGTCAAGGCTATATAGTGATATGAAATAAGATAGGAAGTGGATATTCGTCCGACATTTCCATATCGTTAAAGTCGTTAAAAATAAAACAGCGTAAATTTAATTGAATTTCAAGCGAATCCTTCGTAGTGTAGTGGTTTAGGCACCCGTATTGTGTGCGCCAAGTTCTGGGATCGATTCCTGCTCGCGCCACTACTTTATTATTTTTTTTTATACTTTTTTTTTCTTCGTGATTTTCGCTTACGCACCGCGTACGAAACGTATAGCGTATCGAATATGTTGTTGCTTCGTTCTTAAGAGGCTGTCTCTGTAAAAACCACCCACTGAATTTCAATGCAAAATTAGATTTTTCTTATAAGCTCGGTTTTTTTTACTTTAGCCATAACTATTACGAAAAGGAGTTGCATTTCATTCGTAAGTCGATTTTGACATTTTCAGGATAGATACTAAGATAGGAGTAGGCAAATTCAATTATCACAGTTGAAAATCGGAAATATGACTGATTTTCTCGTAGCTGTAAAACAAGCGGATTTCAATTTAAAACCTTAGTTTTCGTACAGTTTATAGATTTGGCATAGCTGAATATCTGGACGTATTATTGTTCAAAATGCGCCTGAGAATTCTTCAGAACCAGCTATAAACTTACAACATGTAAACTGGTTTTCGACAAATCGCAAAAATATGACTACTTCAAGAGCGAATTTTAAAAGTGTGGCACCTATCTGAAACGCCTGAATTATATAAATGAAAACAATAAATAACGTGTAACTCAAAACAAGAATCAAATTTTTCTGCATGCGACGTTAGGGAAAATAACAGTCGCCTACAAATCACAAAATTTTCAAAATGCAGTGCCAACCGACAGAGTATGGCCGTCGCAAAGTACTATGTAATTCGATCACTAAATCTCTTACCTAGCCATAACGGCCCATAAGTTGAGAGTTCTGATCTTTGTGTGACATTTTAAATCCAAGATAATGTCACATAAACTGAAATTTTATCCACTGGCGTGAAGTTTGTAAATAACTATTCAACGAAGGTCATAAAATTATGCAGTAAAATACTGTATCCATCGAACGCGGTAGAACTCGCATGTATTTTGTTGGTCACAACGAGCTTGCTTGCTTGATTCTGACGGAAAATGAAGCCAAAGATATCAGGTAACCACAATAAATTTCAATCTAAAGTCCTAAACCATGTCCTAAACACGTATCAATTACAACATATTTGCATCAAACGGCTTGGAATATGGAAAGCGGAAGTAAAGTTAATAATGTTTTGTTTACTTTTGCGATTCGTTCCCAGCACGGTCGTGTCAAGTGGTTTTGGGTTGGGGGGGTGGTGAAATAAAAAATTTGGTCCCCCTCCCATTTGGGGGCCCCCTCAAAATTTTTTTTTCCAGAAACCAAAGAATTTTGTCGTAAAATAGTAGGTAGGGGGGAGGTCCAAAAAGTCGTAAAATAATAGGTAGGGGGGAGGCCCCCCAGGTGGCACGGCCCTGGTTCCCAGTCACCGGGTGAATCTGCAAATGAGAAAAAAAGAATTATTGGAAACATTGCAATAAAATCCCATAGCTAGAGCTTTAATAGAAGACCTAAGATATTTAGCTGTGATGAATTTCGTAGGTTTCCTAATAACTCGCGGGTTTTTTTTCACTTTCACTTCCGAGAAATTTGTGAGTAAATTCTTGATCAACAAACTGAGAAGAGTTTCCACTTGTTTGTAGCAGTATGATTCGAAAAGTAAATTGTTATGATCTATTGATTCATGTATGCAAGTTAACAGATCATTCGTAGTGCATGGCATCACATTCGCACTCTCCGATAACGTTTTTGAGTTTGTCTACGAGAATTTGCTTCTTGTCCTTCGACTTAAAGCTAATTTCAAGGTGACAAAGAATGTTTTTAAGCATTGGAACATTGAAATCGGAAAGTTTTTTTCTGTGATAATATTCACAGAGATCATACGTGTCG